TAACAGAATTACATAGTGCTGAAATAAAGCAAAGTAATCAGGTGGAAAATCTTTCCATGATTTTTTTATGTTAATCCAAAGAGTTATTTCTTTCAGTGTAGAGTATCCAGAGAGAACCCAGTCAACAGAATATAAACAATCCACTAAGATTGGGATTCAAACCAGGACATTTTTGCTATACAACACCAGTGGCACTATGTAATCAATTTAATTACTATTTAGCTACCGTGGGAAACACAAAATTTGTATTGGTTAAGGACATGACTAAGAGTTGGAAGCAGGAAGTGACAACTTGGCGTCAAATGACAAATCGACAAACTGTACTTTAGTTTTTGTCCATGATTTTTTTCTGATATTTTCACAGGTATGAATTTAATGAAGATCAGATGGAAGCCAGACGTGTGAGGGATTACCAGTTTTATGTTTGGGACCACGTTGCTTTGGCCCTGCATGTGGAGAATGACCAGGTACTCTCTCTGACCAACCTGCTGACAGACTAGATTCAGTTCAGCTGAATCTAGTCAGCTGAACTCAAAAAGGTTGGGCACCCCTGCTCCTCAGGGTTGGTTGTCACATGTGACAACTGAAAAACAAATGGGAAAAACGCTCTTTAGCTGACAGAATCAATAAATGTAACTTGTTCTGCCCAAAGCTAAAAGTTAGAACTAGTTCTTAATAAAATGTAAATATTTCTGTAATAATTCATGCTTAAAAAGATGGTCATTTAGTTTAAAAACTTCTATACAGCTAGTATTGGTTCATTTGTAGGTGAATTCTGAGGTTGCAATGCATTATGGCTACCAGAAGCAGTCAAGACGACATTTTTACAGAGAAAGTCTGCTTATCTATGTGCCAACTTCACCTCCTGTGTCTTAAATCTTTAGTTACGCCTCCGAAAGCAACAGCTTTTCCAAACAATTGTACAGAATTGTAATCTGTCATGAGGACCGTAATAAAGGAGCAAGACACTCGGTTTCCTGGCTCATGAAAATTGAGTTTGGCTTGCTGTTGATCTGCGTTAACATACAGTGTGTCCAACACGTAGTGATAACAGTATACAAGTTAAAAAAAAGAAAACGTTTTTACGTATATATTAAAACTTTTGCCATGTCCCAACATGAGGCAGACAATCTGTGAAAAAACATCGATCTCCTCTCAGAGCTAGCCATGCTTTCTTGAAGTTTTTATTTAGTCATAGGATTGTTTATTTTAATGCAACAATGCAGTGTTGTGAGATTTAGTAGACTTTCTGCATAATTTAGGCTGTTGAGAGCCTTGTTGTTTTCAGTCTATTAAATATTATTGATATCAGGTGTTTCAGGCATTCTTTTGACTGAATAGTTGCTGAATTGTGCCTGCAAGATTTTTTTGTATGTTTTTGTCTAAATTAAGGTGATTTTATACTTACTTTTGGCAGATGACATAGCCAGTAACTTTTATACTTAAATTAAAAAAAATTAACAGCCAACCCATGTGATTGGTGATTGGGATCAGTATTGGCAGCAAAAAGCCTGATTGGAGCAGGCCTAGTTAAAAGGTAAAGCTTCTTTCCCCCTAACTTCCTTGCTGACATATATGTACAAAAGGAGCTGAATGAGGCGAGGAATGAAAAACTGTTCTGCGATTTCTGGAGAGACGGCGTTGGCAAGTATTGCATGATGCTTCATATGACAGACCCAGCCCACTTTGAGGCGACAATGCTCAATGCGAACACAACCAAGGCCAGAGTACAACGGGGCCGGCCACTGCCAGGCTCTACAGTGCAAACAGGCTTTTAGACTGACTGAAGACCAGACATGGTGCTACGTTATGGACTGTCGGCAGAGGTTTTACAGCACCAGCAGGGAGACCAGTTAGGCTGTAGTCAGGATGGGAGACAATCATAGACTGAACCAGCAGCTGGTGGACTGCTGGTTAGGTTACAGTCCAACAGGCAACTTGACCTAGATACAAAATACTTGAGGTTTTCGGTTATCTGTGGTTTTGTTGAAAAATAAACTATTCAACTTTTCCTCATGTTCTGTAAGAAGGATGCTGCTCATCTTGTTGGACTGCTTTCTTTTCACCAGGTGCTGAAGCTTGATTTTAAGAAACCAGAAGATTTCCTCACATACTGTGAGAAAGATGATGTGACATATCGTTTTGAATTTCAAAACCTTGATGAAGCTAATGAATTGGTGAAGAAGTGGCCAGAATGGCTGGGTGCTCTGAAGGTGGAGCGTCCGCTTCAGATGCATTACCCAGGTAAGACACGTCTGCATCACAGACTTCATGCAACACAACATCGATCTAACAGTTCCTCTTGTCTCTAACCATCTTTTAGTTTTTAGCAGAACATGCAAAACTCAGAAGCATTTTATTAGTTTTCTTCAGCCATTCAAAGCATTTATTTAGTCGTGATGAAGATGACCTGGTAAAATTCAAACTGACCATCAGAATGAAAACGATCAGGCCTCTGAGGATCTTATTTGTTTGAAAAAAGTATCAATATTAGTTTCACTGGCAGGCAGTAAAGACCACTTAATGAAATGAAAAGATTATTAACTTCAGGAAGTGAATCAGAAATTATATATTAGAATTGTAAGCAAGCATCCTCCACTGTGAAGAGAGAAATGTTAATTTAATACTTGAAAGCGTGTTCAAAACGGACTAAAAGACTTCCTTCACTTCCTCCGCTGCCATCGCTAAAACTACAGGCAGACTACAATTCTCAAACAGCGCGGAAAATCATCCTTCAAAACTTCTGCTGTTCACTGATTGGCCTGAGGAATCCATTTCAATGAGAGAAAGCACAGACTGAGAACTGCGCTTTCTCACTACTTTGTAAAACTCAGTGAAGATGGGAGTATTATTAATAGCAACTGCTGTTAATAGTCAGTCATGTTTTCTTAAATGATTTACTCCGGAAAACATTATTTTATGCTTGTAAAACTAAACAAATCTATGCCAGTGCACTAATGTAAATACTTATACTTGTAAACAGCTAAGTCCATCTTGAAAAATAAATTGTAGATCTCAATGAGATTACTATCTGGTCAAATAAAGGTTTTTGTTATGTTTTTAAGTGTTAATAAATGTTGAAATAGAAAAAATTGAATTCTGGAAAATAAAAACAGAAGGAAGAATTTCAAGAATAGTAATGGGTTACCAAAATAAATTTCATTGAGCATATTGAGGGAACTAACAGTGGAAAAACCTCTAAAGGTCACAAACATTATTTTAGTGTTTGGAGTCGGTAAAAATAATACATAATTCATGAATGTCAAGATCAATTAATTTTCTTATAAGAAGAAATTGTCATGATAGTGAAAAACAACATAATTTTTCATCGCTACTTTTAAGGTGTACTTAGTACGGTGTACAGTGAGTTTCCACATTCTCAAAAACAGCATTTTAAAACAGACTTTGTATTAAAGGTGAAACCACAATCTAACACACTGTATTGCAGTTACAGAACTCAAACTGGTTCTTACTGGGAGCTGTGGAGAGGAAACCAGCTCCACTGGAAACACGTTATCTGGGAAGCAAGCCTTTTATTCTTCAGGTAACTGTGCTGAAATTAAACTCATGTCTTTAAAAGTCCTCAACAAAAAATATTTATCAAGAGAATCTGAAACTTCCGACATACTGGATCTGAATGTTTATGATGAAAACCCAGAGGTTCAGCACCTGCTACACCTAGCTGAGAAGAAATAAAGATAATGTTCCTCCAGAAAGAAACAAACTCTGTACAAGAAGGAAACAATGCAGACTAATAAGGTTCTTAGCAAGAGAACATTGAACCAACTGAAGAAGTAAAACATGAAAAGCAGAAAAACAACAAATAATCATGAGATGCAGCATGCATCCTCAGTTCAACTTGTGCCTGCAACCTGAAATTAACAACAACCATCACCTGGTGGATCTCAGTGTTTCAGAAAGTTTAACTGAAGTTGTGAATGTTCCTAACCAAGAATTTGAGGCTGGATGCAAAGACCTGCTACCAAGCTTTAGATTGACCCCCTCTCTTGTGCCTCCCTATCAATGTGACAGCAGTCACCACTTCCAGGGCCTCATGTGTACGCACTAAAACCGATGCAGCGAGGATATATATGTATATTTATTTATCCAGTGTTGATGTTAATTTCTATACAGACCATATCATATAACCAAATATCCAAATTAGGCAATGCTGTCATCTAGCTACTTCTTCCATTTTTTAAAATGTATTTTTGAACTATTGGATGAGAACTGATTCACTGATTCACAAAATCTAAGTATTCAGGGGCAAAAAAAGCTGATTAGAATATCCCTAGTGAGAACATTTAAAGTCAGACTGAGTAAAGTGATATTTAGTGTTAACAATAAACAGCCCAGGACTTTTTTGGTGAAAATGTTGTGAAGGACGGACTAAGGTATACCTTGAGTGTTGTCTTGATTCCTTCATGCATGTTTGAGAAATTCTTCAATCTCCCATGGTAACCTTTTTGGGGTGCCTAAACGCTTCCTCTCACCAAGCTCCACCTTTTCCACAAAGCTCCTCCTTGGAGCTGCAGTCCCCAGCTGAGCTTCTGCCTCACAGAGCAGCCCTCCTCCGTGACTGCACGTTTGTTGAGTCCAATTTTATATTCTCCCACCCAGACCTCTTCTGAGCTCAGTTCCCATTGAGAAAGTATGATCCTGTTTACCAATACTATCCTGTTACTCTCCTCATCACAGGACTAGATTCAGTTGAGATGAAACTGGACAACTTGGAGGTGAAAATCATCAATACTCCAGAGTTCTCAGAATTGACCACAAAAGAAGAGATAAAGAAGACTCTAAACTATATCAGACTCTCCGGCCCTGCTCTTCATGTCTTCCTACTGGTCATCAGCCTGAAGAACATCACTGCAGATCTGATCAGAACAACAGTACAGCGCTTTGAATCAATATTTCAGAACAAGGCCTTAAGACGCACCATGATTCTCTTCACCCACCAGGACCAGACAGAACCAGACATCCAAGAAATTATGCAAAAGGTTCAGCAATTCCTGACTGAGAAAGTAGGCAATAGATGCCTTGTCTTCAACAACAGACTTGAGGACAGAGATCCTCAAAGGGTCTCAGATCTGCTGAGAGAGGTGAAGAAGATTTTAGGCGGTGAATGAATGGAATGCTAGAATGTTTTATATATCATCACCTTCATTATGGAAAACCTAACTTCACTAATCACTAAAGAATAATGTTTTTCCTACAAACCCAACTCTCAGTCCGGGCTCAGCCTCTAACTCAGCAGCAGAGCTAAAGAGCTGCATTGGCAGAAATCACTGGAGGTGATATTTTATTTTTAATGATTATGTTAATATATAAAGATACATGTAAATCAAATAATTTAAGTGCAGCAGATCATAATTTTAAAGCAATTGGAGTAGGGAGAACGCTCATGCCACCCCACACAAGATGCTGCCCTGGGTGTTTTCCATGTTGCCCACATCAGAAACCACCACTGCAAACAGCCATTTTTAAGTTAATAGAAAAATACCACATATTTAGGCCAACATGTTCAACTAATCGTGGATCCCTTTAACATAAATCTGGTTAATAAAAATGTGCTGCCTCCCTACCAGAACCATTTTCTGGAGCAAAGTTCTACCCTGGTGAATTCAGACGAACCAGAGTCGAGCATGGTTCCTGTGAAGGAAACAAACTTATGGACGTTTAATAGTTATGATGTTTTAGTCTCAGATCAGTGTCTTTCTTGGTGCTGTTTGGGTTTAATCTTCATATATAGATGACCCAGAGGCTCACAAACAATAATTTCTGAAAATGTTCCTCAGTCCTTGCAGTCAATACAATTCTATATTTTATAAATCATTTACAGTTGTTTAAACTTGTCTTTTAATTAAAATCTGATCCTGAACTATGCTGCTGCTGTTCTATCCACTTAAAAAAAGCTAATTCTGTTTGCATTTTAATCTTTATATAAAGAAAGGAATCTTTAATTATCTAAAATATTTTAATCTTTTAATTATCATTGTGTAATTTTATTTACATAGCACATTTCAGCAACAAGACAATTCAAAGTGCTTTACATAAACTGGAGGAAATACAAACAAAAGAAAAGCAGAAGAAAAACAAAAAATTGCAGTTTATGAACTAATAGGAGTTTCTTTGGATAAATAAATAGAAAAGAAATGTAAAAGTATAAAACTACATATTGGTTCCTTATGAACCAATAAGAATAAGTAGTCTATAATTTATAAACTAGTAGGGGTTTCTCTGGATTCTTATTCTGATAAAACTGGGTGGTACTTTCTAAGTTTTACAAGTTTTGCAAACTCAGGAGTTTCTTTATGTTTTGCTCCAATGTTAAAAGTCTAATACTAAATGCTGATCTAAGGTAGTTTCTCTGGATAAACTAATAAGAGTTTCCCTGGATTCTAAATGTATTCTAATTTCTTCTCTGGATGGAGTGAAGCATAAAACAAAATTATTACTATTACTAATTCTTACTATTTTATGGCTTTAGGGTTTACAATAATTTCTGTTTTAATTTAGGGAAAGAGGTTAAACTGTACTTTTAATGTTTTATGAAAGGTTTGTAATGAATGTATCTGAGACGCTGTCTGTATCTACATCCATTACAACATCTTGGTCGTGCAACTTCAATTATTATGTGACTTTAATATATTCTGTAACATTTTAAGTGTAAAATGTGTTTCAAATGGAATATTTTTCTGTTTTGATCATTTGATGGTGATATGTGGAATATAATAAATATATCAAACATGTTATGTTTTCCTTCATTAATTATATGTAGAAACTGGTAGCAGCTGCCATAGATTCAAACAGTTTTAGCATTTTCACAGTTTGAGGAGTGAAAATTTTTTATTTTTTAAAAACTTTCCCATAGTCCTAAGAGACAGGGTCCATTGTATTCTCTGTGCATGGTCCAGGAGAGTTGCACTGATCTCAGATGTACTTTGGATTTTTTTTGTGTGTGTGGTTTTGGGAACTAACGGTCTGATTGGATAACATTGGTCCTCGCAGTGACATGCTGCAACCCCTAGATGTCCTCATTGCCTCTTGTTTCTAACTAAACTATCACTGCTGTGTTTTCCAGGTAACTAGATTCCTCCTGATCACCTCCACCTGTCTCAGATTCACTTCAAGGCTACGTCTGCCATCTTATTTTGAATTTCCTTGTATTTTCAGGGATTCCTGCGCTGGGGCAGATTTGATTTCTTTTATATTAATCATTATTAAACATCAATGATTATTTCTGTTACCCCTATCTAGAAACAGTAGGTTTAAAAGCAGATTTTAAAAAGGATTTTAGCATCTCAATTTAAGGAGAAAGAGCCTGATGGTAACATCCAATGAGAATAAAGGAGTCCTCTGTGTGACTGCGACGTCTCCACAGTGTGTGTCTTACAGTGAAACAAAGTCTTTCTGTCTTCAGTTTTCTTCACTGTAAACACGCTGCAGCCATTCTCAGTGATGTAGGCATTAAAATCTGTGTTTGGCTTAATTTTCATCTCAAACATACCCACCAACATTTTCTATTTAAGAAAACCAAGAAAAACTAGGGGAAAAAATAATTATCAGCTCATATTCCTCAAAAACTGAAGTCTAATTTTAATAAAGATACCATGTTTTAAATAGTCAAATGGGTGGAAAACATCAACCCTGTTAAATCTTCCAACTGTAGAATGATCTGAATTCTTTTTAAGGCAAAAGTAAAATCATCATTGTTCTCAAGTTGAGGCTATAAACATCGTCATCATCCATCCAAACTGACACAAACAGACGCAGTGTGTGTCGCCCCTCCCTCAGTGACCCCCAAACCTCCGTCACAGAGTCTCACTGTTCAGTTCTCATCCAAACATGCAGAAAAAACACTCTTTAGTTGACAGGATGGCTGCAGCGTCATATCCATCACCTCTGGCCTTCATCACCTTCCTCTTCATCCTGTCAGGTGAGACCTACATGCACTAATGTTGTCCCAACAGAACCAACCCTCCACTCTAAATCAGTTTTCTCTCTGTTTCGTTAACTGCTTCATTGTTTTCAGTTTTGAATATGTTGTTTCATAATTATCTGGTTAAAGCTTTTATTACCTCAGAGGATGTTTTCCACCTCTCTGCTCTGCTTGTCTATAACTTGTTTCATCGGTCATGTTTTAAAAGTAGTATCTCAGAGGGTTCAGTTAATTTGTGTTTCAGCAAACGCTTTGTTGTTGTTCTCTGTATTTCCAGGATCTAAAGCATGGTATCATATAGATTGGTTGGGGCTCCTTTAGCCTGAATTACTGCAGCAGTGTAGTCTTCACTCCATAGTAGCTTCAAAGGGAGAATAATGTCTTCAAAACGATGAATATAAATCACAGCTACTCAGACTGATAAACCAGACGTCTTTGGCTTTTCTTCCATTTAGACTACAACCATGCTGGAAAATTTATCTCTTTCCCACAATTAAAAATAAACCAGCTAGCTCACAGTAAAGGAGGTCTGGATGACAGGAAGGCTCAGAGAGACATTAATCAGGTTTCACACTGCGGTATAAATTTAACACCTGATAAAACCTGAGGAACTGTCTGCTCTTGCATGTCTCCTTTACAAACAGCTATGGAAATATAAAATCTGTTTTCTGATCTTTGTGTTCTTAAGGTGGACCGCTGATGTCTGTGTCCTGTTTTAAAGTGACAGAAGGGGGCGTGGCCTCTCTGTCCTGTCAGTACTCCGTGAAGCGATTTGGTCTGAGTCGGGTCTGTTGGGGTCGAGGCTGTGGGACCTTCTGGTGCAACAACATCCTGGTGCAGACAGACGAGAACGGTGCCATCTCCCAGGTCTGCCATCTTCCTTTGGTTCTCATTCCAGCTTCAATCAGTTTAAACTGGCAGCAGTAAACGCCTCAGTCACACAGCAGACTAATGCGACCCAAATCTGACTTTTTATGTCCAAAATATGCTTTGTGTTGTTTAATATTGCAGTATGTTGTCATTGTTTTATGTCTAAAATATTGAATTTACTGCAGTATACTGTGGTATAGACAAAACTGCAGTTTTCTGCAAAGGAAGATTCACTTTAACTTAAGAAGTTAAGGCACAAATATGACAGTTGTCAACTGTTTTCAACCATTGGCTCATCACTTGCATATGCCTAGGTAGATTAGCTTTAGCTAATTATTTCTGAAACAATGAACAGCTAACAAATATCAACAACTAAGCAGCTACCATCACACATCGAGAGGCCTTCATAAATTCACTTTAGCGACTCACATGCAAATGTTAGATGAGAAATAAAAGAAATTACCAACCTGTTTTCAATTTCAAAACAGCTTTTTGTGATGAGCTCTTGCAAGTTGGCTGGAAAATCCATGCTCTTCACTCTCATCAATTTGTAATCACTCAGTAGCTCAAAGTGGCTGGCAATTCACCAATGAGAAGATCGCATGCGTTGATGTACAAGCTGTTTCAGTCATGGTAACTACACTGACTGCGCACAGTTAACACAAGAATGCAGCGCCAAACTAATAAATGAGACGTCAACAGCTCTCGTCAACCATGTGAGGTTTTAAACCTCAAACACATTCAAAACCTTTTATGGACAGGTGTCCAAAATATTGACCTTACTGTCGTGTACTGTGATGTACTGTAAAAGCTAAAACTGCAGTTTTCTGCAAGGGAAGACTCACTTAAGCTCATGGGGTCAAAACACTGACATGATAGTTGTCAACTGTACATTCTGATCAAAGTACATGTCATGTTCCACCCTTGACTTGTCATTTGTACAGACCAAGGCAGATTAGCTGTAGGCTAATCATACCTGAGACAACATAAGCAGCTAATGAATACCAACAGCTATAGAGCCACCATCACACATTGGAACAACACTTTCATATTAGCAACACCCATGCAAATGCTAAGAAATGAAGAAATGACTTACCTGTTATTTTCAAAATCACCTTTGCTAGCTGTGCTTCCTTTTTTCTTACTATCTTAATCTTGTTCTGATCTTGTGATGATGCTGTCGGCTCAGAATAACTTTAAGACGGCAGCATCCATTATTTCTGCCGTAAACAGAGCTCTACAGGGTGACATCTATGTTCTTCTTCTGTGCATTTGTGTCGCTTTGTGGTCGTAATTAGTTCACAGAGAAGTCTGATTGTGGTCCCATTTAATCAAAACCATGAAAGACCACAAAAAAACATCTGATTTCAGCAAAAAAATTAAATCTCAATTGAGAATCCAAACTTTCTGTGTTAATGTAGCCAAAATGTTCTTCAAAAAAAGTCCAACATAAACCTGTTTCTGGCTTTTTTTTGTTTTTGATACAAATCTGCAAACACTATCTTTCTGGCCGATAGGGAATAATTTGATCATTTGTAAATTGCCTTTTTTTATATATAGAAAACTGAAATATTTAAACAGACTAAGAAATTTGATTTTAGGTCTTATAATTTTAAGATTATTCAGATTTATCTCAAACCTTTTCTTATTGAGAGCTTATCTTTTTTTCATCTAGTTAAATAGACACTTGCAAAATCCAGTTACGTTTCTTTGGAGTTTGAAAGAATTAGTTTCATATTGATCATCATTATAAAACTTGTATTTAAAACATGTTCATAAATGTTCTGGAGCTGATTTATTTTACACACACGAGTTAAAGTAGCAGTACCTGCAGATAGCTTAAAATCTGAGAGTAGTAGGAGAAAGCAGCAGAGAGGAAAGTGTCTTCCAAGACCTTCTAAGCCAGCTCAACCTTTTTCCAACAGCTAATGATCTGAACCTGACCTTGACCCTTCAGGTGGATGACAGATATCAGCTGACGGGGGACATCCTGGATGGACAGATGGACCTGGACATCCTGAATGTGAGGAGGACAGACAGCGGGCCGTACTGCTGCAGGGTCGACGTTGACGGCCTGTTTAACGACAAGAAGATGATCATGAACCTCAGAGTGGTGAAAGGTGAGATGAATCATGAGTTCAGTTTAAACAGAACTGCACCAAAACATTTTCCCAGGTAAATCAGATGCTGAAGCTCACTGATTATTAAGAGTATTAGCATCTTCCTCCTACTCACCCTTCATTATGTAAATTTACTGAAAACTGGTCTCTCATTCCCTCGTTATTGTGGCTTCTAGCAAATACAAATAATTTTGTTTATTCTAACTGACCTAAAACAAGAGAAGGTTGGTCTGATTGAACTTCAGATGGTGCGAAAATATATTTGTATCTTCCTACACAGTGTACATAAACATCTAATTTCAAGTGTATGTGGGAAAAGCCCATATACAAAAAAGTCCAACAGCTTAAATGCATCCACACTAAGTGCGATTTGCAATGGCTTTTCCACTGATAAATGTGATGGTAGCAGGAAAAATGGCTCCAACAGCTAAACTCTGACGCCTCCATTTTATTTCCATTTGGTGAAGAAGGAAATTGTGCTCAAGTGTCTTCTTCAGAGGTTTTTGTGTTATTTCCTTCAGTGGTTCTTGGTGCAGCGCCCCAACTGGCGAGGAAGGGAACAGGTTGCTCAAAGGGTTTGGTTGGTTTGACTCAGCAGAAAGAAAGAGAACCACAGCAGCTGGAGGAGGAACAGACATTAGGTTTCCCCAAGAAGACCTGCTAAGCCCGGTGGTAGAGGTCCATTAGCAGCACAAAATGTTTTTGTATTAAAGAATGTCAAAAGTTGCACAAATTTAGAGGTGCACGAGGAGGCATCATAATTTGGAAATGTTAGCATGTAAAGCCAATTGGCAGGTCCAGTTCAATGCGTCAACTATAAACCTAGTAATCTGTTTTTACTGTCATCGTTACTGGTGTATAAAAAACCCTATTTAATAAACAGCCTGGTGGGGAGGCAAATAAAGCCTGGTTACCCACCAGGCTTATAATATACAGAGGGAAACCCTGAATGTTGCAAATTTTGGTCTTCAACTGAACCAAATCTACCAGACTATCAGGAGGGAAAACAGCCTTAAAAACATGTAGATGTCAAATCACAGCCAACTATTTTTCAGTTTCATCAGACTACCTAACTTCCAGTTAGCTGGGTTCTTTAACCCAGCTAACAGTGTCTTTCTCTCAGCTCCATCCACCAATCCTCCTCAAACAACCACAACAACGGTGATGACAACCGCCAGAGTCACAGAGGCGAGGGCCACTGAGGTCTCCACAGAGCTGACCACCACAGGTTAGTAGGTCCATGAGGAATGTGAGGCTGAGCAGATCCAGACAGAGACTGAAGCTCCTTCCCCTGTCTCTGGGTGTCAATGCTGTCTTCCTCTGTCTCCTGCTAGTAAACTGGAAAACCCTGCTGTCGTCCCAGCTGGACCTGCTGAGGAGAAACTCCACGCTGCTGCGCTCTGACGCCATCACTGTAAGGATCCTCACCATGTCTACTTTAATACTCTGCAGCTTTTTGTGACGTTCTGCTGAAGCTTTGGCCTTCAGCTAACCCTGAAGGACATACTGTTGACTTCTGGTCACTCTGGGTTCAGTCTGAATTTCCAGAAACAGTAAAAGTGTTGCTCTAATGTGGAGCCTTAAAGGATAATAAACTGGGCTTTACTTATCAACCTCAGAGTGAATTGATCTGCCTACAGGACTGACATTCTTGTGTGTTTCAGGTGGAGGATCCTCTACCGTCCCTGTCTCTTCAGATCAATGCTCCCGTCCTCTCTCTCTCCCTCAGCATTTTGCTGCTCATCGCTGCAGTTTTCCTCTTTCTGGCCTTCAAACGTACGTCACAAAGCTTTGGTTCATGGGACTTTACTCTTATTTTTCTGTTTTTAAAACATCACATACAGCTGTGTGCATGTCCAGATCCAGCTTTCCTTACAAGCAGACAGACATGATCATCGTAAAAATAATCAAGCAACATTAGAAACACATAGATGCTACACTGGTAGTGTAAAGTCATACACGCTGGTGTGTGTATGACTTTACACACTAGCGTGGTTGCTATCAATCAATCAGTCAAGTTTTATTTGTATAGCACCTTTCAGCAACAAAGGCAACAGTGTCGGGAATATTGGTAGTTGGGACAATTACACAATCTCGCATAAAATCTGAAAGAGGAACCCAAAGTTTTGTATTAATTGTCAACACAACAACCAGATAAAAGATTGGATAATTTATAGATTTCAGAAATTCTCAATAAACAGTGGAATATCATCAGCATATAAATGACAGGACACATTTTTATAACATTTCAAGATTTGACATTAAGGGAAAATGTATATTATGAAGAGAACGGGACAATACAGCGTTAGGAAGTCAACTGTACTTCAGTTAGTTGTTTATTTTTCCTTCGGCTTTTGATGCAGGTGGGATCTACAGAGGCAGTTTAAAGACAGGATGGTGAGTAACCCGTCTACTAACTACTAACTTCTGGTTCTTTCATCATCTTGTGTTGTTCTGATTAGTCTTTAAAACACCAGAGGATCAGAGTTTATCCTGATGAAATACCCAAAGTCTCTGACCTACACTGTGACCAGTTTTTCTTCTCTTCCCCCCCCAGTTTGTCTTCAGATGAACCTCCTCACATCATCTATGAGATCCGCATGAGGAGACCAGTGCAGGAGAACATCTACACTCTGGACTAGAGCATTTATGACACAGAAACAAAAGGCCTCTTCACAAAGACAGAACTGTTAAAACATCCGGATCCAGCCTGGGATTTTATGTTTTACTTCTAATGAGTCTGACTTTTTAACTGCGGCATAAAGCAGTATTTGTCCATATGGGGGTGAAAGGACAGGGATGATTTTGTTGTGAAAAAGTATGTTTTCTTGGGTTGTAGATGTACAATGGAAAACATGCCGAGTGTATAACAATGTATATGAGTGTATAATCAGGACTCAAACAGAATCATTCATACAGACCAGATATGCTGAATAAGAGCTGGAGTTTGCAGTTAACATGTTTTCAATTTTTGTGTTTTAAATGTTTTGTTCCTTCAGTGTGATTATACTGTTGGTAGAAAAAACAAGCAAGCTTCCTATGCTGTGTTTGCTGATTTCTTATAAAGCTCTGTGTTTGTCAGCATGTGAGACTGAGGCTGGAAGGATTATTCATAACGTTTTAATCCCCCATGGACTTATAGCTGCATTTCCATTGTCCATAAAGTTGAGCAAATTGGAGTACAAAAATTAATTGGCTTAACGGAAATACAACAATTTTGAAAAACTCATGTTTTTTTGCTAAAAGGTTTTTTACGCTAGAATGAAGTGGTTTTTCGGCTGTATTGAAATTGATGTTTAGTAAAATTACAATGGAAACACTTTTTCTGCATCACACGAGTCACAAAAGTTGGGTTTCTCATTAGAAAGTGTTGGATCCATAATCGCTGACTCCAATTTCCCAAAAATGCACCATATGTAGCTACTTCCAGGCACAGACATTGAGCTCAGTGATCTTTCACTGTGATTTTAACTACTATCATGCCATACTTCAAACATTAAAAATACTCATAATGGCCTCGCCTGATTGCACCACCTACCTAAATCTATTCATGTTTGTGAGACAGCATGGGTTTCCGTAGTGTAGTGGTTATCACGTTCGCCTAACACGCGAAAGGTCCCCGGTTCGAAACCGGGCGGAAACATTGTTTTTCTTTTAGTTCAATTTTTTTTTTTTACTGAAAGTAGTAATGGATTAATCACTTTTCCTATTCACCATTTTGTCAGAATACTTTCAAAGTAAGTGCAAAAGAAAGAAAAGAACATGTTTCATATGAAACCACTACACTGCAGAAACATTAAGAAAACACCAGTAACCCATCTACTAACCAAACATACAGGAATAAAGCATAAAACTAAAACAGTCTAAAGATTGTGGAAATCAACGTTTAAAAAGGTCTTTTCTGTATGCAAAATAGTCCTCCATATTACATCTTTGCACTGCATCTCAGTAGCTTTAACCTTCACATACATGTGAATGTGTGCATGTATGGGTGAATGTCTGAATGTAGTGATACAATTGCGGGCCATTTACTATTTCTTGCTGAATCTGCTGCATTTTAGCGAATAAGCTTATATTTTAACAAGAGACTCATGTTTTGATTAGCTTACAATTACAGGCACTGAATTTGGCAACTGTTGGTTTCCTAGCAAGAAAGAATCAAATAAAAACAATATCTCTAAACATGTGAGAGAACCAACCATTGTCTGTACTCACAAGTACTCAGACTAAGCCAAAGAAAGTTAAAACAAGTCTAATGAGCTTTTGCCAGACAAGTCCTCATCACTGAGATGAGTGCCATTTGATTTTTATTGAAGGGACAATGGCGATGAGGGGGTGACACTTTTAATAATTAAGCATTTTAGTGAAAGACAGCAACTCCTTCGTTTTGTCTATTGAAACATTTTTACAACATGTAAAAATAACTGCATCCTCCCCGTCGGGGAATCGAACCCCGGTCTCCCGCGTGACAGGCGGGGATACTCACCACTATACTAACGAGGAGTGACCTGAGTAAGCATGGTCATGTGACACATTTAGGCCTGTCAGGTCCGCCCTACAAGGGACAGAGTGTTCTTATCTACAGATATGATAGCTGGGGCCATGCATGCCAGGGTTTCCGTAGTGTAGTGGTTATCACGTTCGCCTAACACGCGAAAGGTCCCCGGTTCGAAACCGGGCGGAAACATGTATATTTATGTTTTGTCTGAGAAGCATATGTCAGAAAATTTTAATTAATTATTCCAGCATGGTAACAAAGTATAAGTTGAGAAACGCAACACACGTATATCACTTGAACCACCTTAAACTTAGCAGCTTTAACAACCATGTCATAAAATACTTAAGAAAATAACATTTGACTTTCGAAGTTACATGTCAGATTCTTTTCAAATGTGAACCTGGCCACTTGTTTATCTGATACGTATCAAAATTCAAATGTGACCTAACGTCTAGGTCGCATTCATCCGACTTGAATGTCCCTAGTCTAAAAATCCGATTTGACAAAAAAATCAAAATTGGGTCACTTCAAGATGCAATGACCCAATTTCACTTCACTGCATCTTCTATTACTACTTCTACAGTTACAGAAGAAGTAGGTATTCTATTACTGGAAGGCTTTGACTTGGTCGGCTTAATTTCTAATTAAATAACTAAAAGAAAAGTTGTTTCCGCCCGGTTTCGAACCGGGGACCTTTCGCGTGTGAGGCGAACGTGATAACCACTACACTACGGAAACTCATGATAGCCCTGTACCACCAACTGATCCTTGTACACCAGTGTACCATGGCAGCAATACACTCATGCTTTTATTTCCTATCTGTTAACATATAGCTACATATCTTCAACTATTTTGTATAATACTCATAATGAGTTGGGCTCTTCTGTGACTTCTCACTGTAGTCACATACCAAAGGATGGCCACAACTACAAAAATCTACACCTATATATCATATGCCATGGGTTTCCGTAGTGTAGTGGTTATCACGTTCGCCTAACACGCGAAAGGTCCCCGGTTCGAAACCGGGCGGAAACATTATTTTTCTTTAAATTCCACATTCACTTTATCACATCAAGTAGTAATAACACATTGAGACTGCATCTGCAATTTTGTCTAAGTGTTTTTAAAGTAAGTGCACTTTTGTCTTCCATTGTCCACTTTCTACAGAGGGACTGTAAAGAGCACACTGCCAGCAGCATCCCAGGGTGCGTTCACACTGCAGCCTGAAGTGACTCAATTCCGATTTTTTGGCAATTCCGATTTTTTTGCCGGGGCCGTTCATACTGCCAGTAAATGCGACCTGTATGCGTTCTGCAGTGTAAACGGGCAAACGACCTGAAAGTGTCCCACATGCGCAGTAGAAGGCGCAATAGCGTCAGCGTTATAAGTGTTCTGCCAACTGCCATAAAAAGAAGTGCTCCGTGTTTGCGGAAGTAAACATGGAGGCTAACGGTGGAGCTTAGCTTACATATTTGAAGTTGTTGTCCGGCCGGAGCAGCATATTAACAACTTAATCCTCATATAATCCATCATGGTTGTTGTTTTTCTTCCTACTTGCGCTTATCAGGACACAGAACAGTGACATTTGTTGAGAATCAGTGACGTTCTGTTCGGATGAATGCGACCTGGACGTTAGGTCGCATTTGAATCGGATACGTATCGGATATGGGTCACATTTGAAAAAGAATCCGACCTGTGCTGTTCACACTGCCATGAAAAGATCGGATACAGGTCGCATTATGTCAAAAAAATCGGAATTGAGTCACTTCAGGCTGCAGTGTGAATGCACCCCCAGTCTGAGCTTCCTTCCATTCTCGACATAACTTGCAGGCGCTGCCTGAGCAACTAGGGCTCAGACAATTACAAAAGACCCTTCCACCCTCAGCATGGTTTGTTTTCCCTGCTGCCCTCTGGCAAAACGTTCAGCAGCTTCAAATGCAGAACAACCAGATTCCATAACAGCTTCATCCCTCATGCTATCAGACTACTAAACTCCATTAATCTTTTTTTTCATACTAAATTTTGCTCAATATGTACATTTTAAATGTACAGTTGAATGGCAAAGTCCGTCTATGTCTATGTCTCCTATTTAACAGGAGGTTGAAAGAATAGAAAGAAAATCAAGCAAACGCATGGAGCTGGTTCCGATTCAAAACCCAGCAAGTGCGTAACAGAATTACCATTTGACAAAACTGGCTTCTTGGAAAAAAAAAAAGTGTTTCCGCCCGGTTTCGAACCGGGGACCTTTCGCGTGTGAGGCGAACGTGATAACCACTACACTACGGAAACCTGTAAAAGACAGTCAGAATCACCTATAAAAATACTTTTCGAAAAAAACCGGTCGCATAATGGATTCAAGCATGTTTCACTGCGGAGCCCATATGTCTTTTTTCAATTCCCATTTCAACCCTGCCAGAATGCCTAGGTGGGGCCCATGTGGGGGAAAGGAGGGCTGATATATGGGTCCCATATGGTCTGCCCTCCTTTTCCCCACATGGGGCCCACCTAGGCATGCTGGCAGGGAATTAAGAGTACCGCCAAAAACGCGAAGTTCACTCCTAAAAAGTAAAAAAAAAAATCCTCAATAAATGGTTACTGTGGACGGGGTATAAAGAAAACCTGCGACCTGTGAGTTAATTTCTGAAGTACCATTTGATTAACATATCATCTCAACAATAAAACCCACTAGTTCACAACTATCATGTTTAATTAAAAACTTATGAGTTCGTCTTTACATAATAAAATATTATTTCTAAAAAACAATTTAACAACTTCAAAGCCGACCAAGTCGCCAAATGTGGCGACTTAAAGCTAGCATAACCTTGCACTTCACCTCGCTAACCCGAATTAGCATCCTGCTGTTTTTTTATTTAATACTCAATAAAGATACACGCAATGAAACATATTTCTCACCTGTCTGTCCGTCAGTTTTCACCACAAAGCTCCGGCTCCACATTATTCCAAGTTTGCGAAAGTAATGTAAGATTCCCGGGCGAAAACTAGCGTAATCATTTCGGAGAACTTCAAAGTTATGCGCATTAATCCCCCTCTCACTTGGTACTCTGGTTCTGTGTACGTCCGCACACACCTGGCTCTACGGCCGCTGTTATTTATTACGTAAAAGTGCGTCCTTAATTCGGTTCAGAAGCAATTTTCTTTCATTTGTATCCTCCCCGTCGAAATCTAATGATGTCAAGCGAGATGTGAAGGAAACACACGAACACAACCGAAGTTGACTGATCTCAATTAATCAGATTTGGTTGTAATGGTGAGGTAGGGAAAAAAGTAGATCCCACAAAACTAAAAACTAAAACCAAACATAAAATTTTTAACTTCGATAAACTGTTATTACCCGAAATGTCTATAGAATAAAAAAAATAATAATACAACAAACGCGTCATGTAGTTAAGGCCTATTTTATTGTGATGGATGGATAATACGTTTTATAGGGTATGAGAGTAAAGGGGGCAGAATAAAAGTAAAATTTATTGACATCTTTTGGTCCTACAATTGAAAAAGTAGAAAACTTATGAAACAATAAGCA